GTAAAGAGCAAGAGGGACACTATATGCAAATTTTTTTTCCATTTGCCCACTTAATAGTGTTAACTGCATTTACATGCACTCTCCTTTTTTGCCCTTTTCCATTTTCTTTTCTCTTGGATTCAGCAACAGATGGAAAGGGAAAAAGACAACCAGGCTATTTTCAACAGAATACCTGAAACTTCTGCATATGACTAGCTGACGTTCAAGAACATACTGTATCTGTGTGAGCGTGTGAAGCAAAGATTTACAAATACAGAATCCTGTGATTATCTATTATCCTGAAACTTGTGTTTCTTGTTTAAAGTTATATTAACATGCTTTGTTACATAAATATATGAGAAACAGCTTGCAGAATAGTATCTCTGTATAATCATGACACTGTCAGTTTTTAAAAGGACTTCCTTCTTTTTTTCTTTCAATAAATAGTTACCAGTTCTTCTGTAGTTTAAGAGATTATAGGGAAAATACTATGTGTATTCTCATAGTCAAACCCCTGGACCACATTCTGATGAGATGTGCTGGTGTACCTTTCCTACAGTAGATTTTGACATGTGCCTCTATAAAACTCTATCTTCATTTTTAACATGGGATGATCGAAAGACAAGCTTTGTTACTTATGTGTTTCGACTGTAAGTTCCTTGTACCAGAGAACAGATGTCTCCCCTGTGCTTTCTGCTGAGGACAGAGGTAATCTGTATTTATTAAACTGCTTAATAGCTCCAGTAAAGATCAAATAAGTAATAATGGATGCCTAGCCCTACTTTGACTTCATCTCAACTATGAAAAATAAAATACTACTATTAATTCACTTCTAGCCTTTCTCATACAGAGTTGTCCTAATGTTACCAATACTTAGCACATCACTTAGTGCCACAGTTTATCCTTTGCCCCACATAAACATTCCTCCACACAGAAACAATTTCTGTAGGATTGGGTGTTTATAACACAACAGCAGCTAAGTTTGACACGGAGTTTCATTTATTGCACCTTTAAGGAAGCAAAAAAAAAAAAAAAAAAAAAAGAAATCCTCAAATGCACTTTAAACTGTCTTTAATGTCTCTCCTGCCTTTGTTTTTACTGAGTACACACTTATGTGCCATAAAGCTTTTAATTCTTGGTCTCATTCATGAGCAGAACATCTTCTGTCAATAAGACTAATCTTATTTGGAAATTGGAGAATCTGCTCTATTGTTTAATAACTAATAATTTTATACAACGATCAGAGTAGCTAACAGCATGATTACTAAAAATAAATCACAGCTATTGAAACTACCTTCCAATACTCTCCGTATTTACCATGATACAAAATACAGGCATATTGGCTTTACAAACTACAGCACTCTGAAGTGAACAGGGCTTCAAAGCAAAGATTTTTAGCAAAGCTATTTAGGCAAGTGAAATTATCTATTTTTAGTACCGTTTGCCTGTAGTGTGCCCTGTCTTCCCCCACCCCGTAACAACGATAGTGCCAGCTAGCAAGGACAGGAATAGCTATAAGTCTTAGCAATAGTCTAGAATTTGAAAGCTAGTTCAAATTTTCAACTGTGTGCATTACATGTATGACAAACTCAGCAATACTACATCTCTAGGATCACTTATATTTACACTCCTTGGTTCAGCTAAGGCGCAAAAAGTGCAAAATGGTCTGTGAGCAGAGCTTTCAAACCCTGTCCCCCTGAGTATGAACATAACAAGCAGGGGACAGGGGAGCTAGAGAACACTACCAATCTGTACCTGTCCCAAAGCAGACAATCTGGAGTAGCTACTGGAGGCACCAGCCAATGACAGGTTGCCACAAGCCACTCCGCTCCATCCTCTAACCAGGTATATCATGCACCTCCTCATCAGAGCTGCAGAAAGGTGTGACAGACAAGAATCGATACTCCAGCAGTGGTCCACCACTGCTGTACCTGCTGCTACCTTGCCCCAGGGAGGCAGCTTTGTGTCAGCTGAGAAGATGTATCAGGAGGCCAGCTCAGCTAAGCAAGGAAGCCACAGCACAGCTTGAATGCAAAAAGGGAGCATGCAGAATGGGGCAGGATGGACAGGCTACAAGGCAGGAATTGAGAAACACTCCCTGGGCAAGTAGGGATGGCAATTATTGTCAAGCAAGCCAAAGCTCAGAAAGAGTTAAGACTTGCAAGGCATGTCCAGGGCACAAAGAAGAGTTTCTACTGCTATATTAGTGATAAAAGACTGACCAAGGAAAATGTGGGGCCATTGGTGAATGGGGCAAGTGACACAGTGACAGGAGATACAGATCACAGCAGGTCCCCGCCACCATCTTTGTCATCACCAGCAAGTTCTGCCAGGCCTCTGCACTTCATGAGGCTTAAGGAGGGGAGGGGCTACCAGCCGGGGATGTTTATATTACAGAAACAGGGACACACACACACACATACATGACCAAAAACAAACACTGCTTACAGATTCTGATTGAAATATGAACAATGAAAATATTATCCAAATTCAAGCAACACAGAAAAGAATTTCTTAGTCCTGAAATACTGGCAAGAGGAAAAATTTCCTCTCTTTAATGATTTTTTAATTCCAGTGTCTACACTAACTTTCTCACTTTGGACTAAAAGGAGAAAGAGATGACAATTGTGAAGCCCTAAAAATCTAGGTCAGTTACCACTCACGCTCAACACCCATCCAAGCAGCATACGGGCAGAAAAAAACCAGTGGCAAAACTGATGTCCTTTTCCCAGAATGGAGGTGTCTTTCTATTCTTTCCAAAGGCAACAGTACAAGGCAGGTAGTCATATCCAACCTCATTTGATGAGTAAATTCATCTACATGAAAGATAACAGCATCTGCTCCCTTTGTTTTACAACACAGCGTAAGACTTACTTGAAAAGAAAAAAATTGGCAGTCATTTTTTTATACATATGTAACATTCAGTGTCTATATACATACAGACACAGACTATACTACAGTGTATATATATATGCATTTATGTACACAGATTGATTAAAGATAATTTTCTTCTTTTCTTTTAACAATATTGAGATTTAGCACACCTTTAAGAACTCCAGACTAACTTTACAGTCTTACACAACAAAAAAGGTGATGTTCAGTTCAGCACTCAAACAACATGTAGCAAGAATTTACCCATACTTTCAAAGAACCAGTAAGAGTCCCCCTTATATGTAACAATTAAATGATTGATTCTTGTTTTTACTTTTCAGTCCAGTTCCCTCTTTCAGATTCTGTTTACTATTTTCTCTACAATAGATCCCCCCCCCAGGCTCTGACTGGGTAAGTAACCTTTGACCAGTGGGGAGATGCACAAAAGGGCATCCAGATCCCCAGATGTGACTTACTGATGCATTCTGCATTACCAGTCATGGCAGGAGCTCAGGAAAAGCTCACTGCAAGAGGCTACAGAAAGAACAATGTGTGGTGTCAGATAAACGTCTCACACTGAATATGCAGCTGAACATTAGATCACCAGTTTTACAAACTAAGCACAAAGCATTGCAGACTTCTATGATAATTTTACAAAACGTACTATTCATGTGCAAAAACAGCGCTTTCCATCTTGCACCATAGGTGGCAGTGAACAACAAACTCTGATGTTCAGGATGCCTCTTCTATGTGATCAGTTCAGTCTACCCATTCTGTTGTTTTATTACAAAACTCTTAGGACTCCCCTCGGACAACACCCATCTTTTCTCTCCACAACCCCCAGGAATCTTGTGCAACTCTGAGACACCCAGATAACCCCCCTTTTTCCTACTTTGTATTTTCTCACCTTTGCTATGGAAAAAGTTTCATTTTACAACAATTCTCCCTGTCCACGACAGGCACTGATACCATTCACCGAGGTCCTCTCTAAGGCAGATATCCTTCTCCTGCCTTGCAAATGTTATGTTGACATTAAGCACTGTCAGCCAATGAAGAAACTACTTTACTCCAGAAATAAGACTGCTGTCACCAGACACACCTCCCCCATTCAGTTTCCCACCTCTTGTTAACTTACAAAGAGGCAGACTTACCGAAACAGTACTAAATCTGTAGCTCTACACACACTTTATCATATGTAACGATGGTACCACAGGGCCATTCAATGTGCCTCAGAAAACAAATCATTAAAATCTCCAACTTGATACAAAGCAAGAATAAGAATAATAACAGATATGTGCTGGACTACTTTCCTGTATTAATCTGTATTTCCACAGATGGATCAGTGTAATCCTAGATGTACAGAAAAACAGGTGGACAGCCCTGCAGAAACAGATATGGGGGTTGTGCTGGAGTGTAAGCTCAGTGAGGCACCAATGTGTCCTGGTGGCCAGAATGGCCAATGACATCCTGGGGTGTACAGTCAACTGGTTGAAAGCAGTGACTGTCCCACTACACTCAGCAGTGGTGTGGCCTCATTGCAAGCACTGTGTGCAATTTTGGGCTCCACAATATAACAAGGATACAAAAATACTAGAATGTGTCCAAAGGAGGGCAACAAAGATGGTGAAAGGACTAGAGGGCACAACTCAGTGAGTAGATGAGGATATTAGGTTTACTCAGCTTAGAAGAGTCTGAGGGATCACCTCATTGCTATCTACAGCTTCCTCATGAGTGAGTGAGAAAGGGTGGTGCTGAGCTCTGGTGCCTGGTGATAGGATGCAAAGGAATGGCTTAAAACTGCATTGGGGAACTGGTCATGGCCCCAAGCCTGTTGGTGTCGAAGAATTATTTGCACAACACTCTTAGATACATGGTTTAACTTTTAGATTGCCCTGTGTAGGGTCACTCAGTGACTCTTGTGGATTCCTTCCAACTGAGGATATTAAATTACATGGTTCTACGACCTCAGATTCGAACAACCTAGCTAAAATACAGGCTTCATCAGTGCATTGACATCTATAATTTTTCCTAATTAAATTGCATGGAAAAGGAATGTAAGTTAAACAACATATAGAGCCACGTCCTGTTCCCTGTTTTGCTGAAGTAAATCTAGAACACGTAAGTTTAAATAATCAATAATTTTTACTCACTCGACAATCCCGCTGTAATGTTTTCATCAGTGCGCTGTGTGTCTCAGAGTCAAAATACAACCCTTCATGCATGTCTTGCAAGAAATCCAAGTCTTTGAATGTGGGGTTGGACTTCTCCCTCTCTTTTCTTGATGCTCTCCGTTTGTATGTGGAGCCTTTCAAGTCATATGTGAAATGCATTTTCAAGGCTCGCGGCAGAACATTGTTCATTACAACAATTCTAATATTAATGCCTCCTGACTGAACGCAGTACAGCCCATAAAATTTGGGTAGAAGAGTCCTTGGATTCTGGTTCAGATTCTAAAACAAAAGAGATATTGTTAAATATGTCTATTTTCAATAAATTTCCAAGCTTCAGAAAGTTTTTTTAAATACCAAAGGGCATTAACAAACATCAGGAAGACTGTGCATGTTTTCTTATTCAGCACAGTTTCTTTGACCAGTTGATTTTCTTTGTGGGTCTGTATTTCAGAGAGCTAGCACAAACACTGCCTTTTTTTCCAGGAACTTAAGACAGGCCAAGAGCAGAGTTGTAACTATATTTATGCCAGGTTTCTCTTTCTCACATCCTGTGAAAGAACAGACTAGGCCAAACCTAAAAGCATCCTGAAGAATTCATTTATTAATTCTGACCTGAACAACCTCTGCATTCCACCTGCTGGAACAAGTTTGGGTCAAAAGTAGTTCTCACTGCCTTGACTTGGATTCTGAAAAAACAGAACCCTTGCCTCCATGAGGCTTTTCACATTGAGGGTTAGTGCCAAATGACCAGGTTGTCTCCACACAAGTGTGAGGTCATAACAGAACCATGACTGGCCATCAGAACAGTGCGAAATAATCCAAATTCTACAACAGGCAAAAAATCAACTAGGAGAGGATAAGAGAGGTGAGAGCGAAAAATCTTCCTTCTGAATACGACTACTCTCAGTTTTCAGCACGAAAGAGCAAGAAAGGGATAAACTACTTCAAGTCTTACATGATTACTAAGTCACAAGACACAACGACGGGAAGAAAGTACTTTCACAGGAATTAATCACAGTGATTAAAGTTTTACACTTTGGAAATCCTTGCATATGGTAGCAGTGAGAATAAAGTTCCTAGAAACAAAGCAAAATGGCCTTATATTTATTTGTAGTAACTCAAGCTTATGCTGAGCTGATTATCATTATTAGAAACAGCAAGAAAAAAAAACCTGCCACTACTGCTCTTTTTGATGCTGTCAGTGCACATTTTTTTTTTAAACATTCACTGAATCCATGTTATTTTAGTGTAATAACAGCAATATTACTGATTTTTATTAAAATTGAGAGGGTAACTTTTCAAATGTTTATTTAAGAAAGCAAAGGAAGAAAAGAAAGTCAGCCATAGGTCTGCTATTCTGAAATCCTGCATACTACCCAGAAAAATTTCTGTTCACATGTATGAGTGGCTCTTGTTGGAACAAAAGAGAATAAAGTTTCCCCTTCTGATGACTGATACACATAAAAGAACACAATTGCCTCAGCATTAGCCCTCAAAAAGCTCCATTTAAAAAAAAAAGCTTTGAACAAATTATATGTAGTAAAATATTTTTTATATCATTGTTTCAATACATGAGAAATGAAAATTAGAAGTAGTCCAGAAACAAAGGTGAAACTGACCGGTCTAGTTTCTTTGTCCACTCTGAGTGAAATGCAGAGGGTAGACAAACACAAAATGAAGAAAAAAATTGAATTAGAACTTTTGAAACCTTTTTCTTTTACTAGCTTAATAGAAGCAAAGTTTGGTATCAAATCAGAAGATGACATTCAGCTTCATCTTGAATACTAAAAGAACAGCAATTATCTTAAATATATTCCTGATTTATATCTATTCTTTCTGATCGGTGTGCGGGGTGCAAAGTTGAAAGACAGGTAAAAAAATGTCAAAGATATTATGAAAAATACAGATAAAGCAAACAAAAGATTAAAAGACAAGAAATAAAATTGAATCTTTAGAAGTGTGACAAGAAACAGGAAAAATACAGGTAAAATAGAGTCTTCAATTACTCACCATATAATAACCCGGCAAGAGCTTCTGAAGAAACTCAGCCTCTTTGTGCTGAACTGTTTTGATGATGAACTCGTCATCACTAGTTACAAAAAATAGGGACCCACTGGCACCTGGATTGGATAATTCAATTAAAGGCTCACTGCAGATTGAGTACTGGAAGAGACAAGAATTGTTTTTCACTGCCAATGCATGCATTACTCAAACACAAGTTTAATACAAAGAACTGCAGGTTCAAATAGGCACAGAAGAACCGTTGAGCTTATTCTTTGGGCTTCAACTGCGGCAACTCTACTCCTGTACAGCAAGCTGGGTCACAGTAATCTGGCTGAGACTTGGAAGGGCAGTTGTTATACTCCCCTCTGCCCAGGACATGTGCACAACCGTGGAGGAGCAGTTGGCAGCTGAGCGGACGGTCCCACTTCACGTCCCACTGCACCAGATGGACTTTTCCCTGGAGTGAAGTGAGTGGTTGACATGGAGAGAGTCCATCCCTACACTGTCAGTGTTGCAGATTCTTGAGTCAGAAGCCTTAAGATGACATTTTCACTGCAACTGTTCACTTTTCACAGCCTTTTATGAAACAGGTAGAGAACGATGTTAGAGAAACACACTGGGAGTAGACGTTTCTCACTCTAGACAAACAGGCAAGTCCTCTTCTGTGAAACTGGGATTGAAACCATTAGAACAGTAATCTCGGTATGGCTGCTAATGTAGTTTTCTGACTGAAAACTGTTTGAAATAGAAAAACTAAATACCAGTAAGTAAGAAAAACTGGGTGTTGGAGTACCATTGTTTTGGATGCTTAGAAAAGCTGTCTCTTCCACAGGGAGACAGTAATAATTACCATCACATTAAGGAGGAAAAAGACAGCAAGAAGTATTCCTTAGTAGTAGAACCAGATCTCACATAGAGGCTAATCTACATTTATTAAATCCCCATTGAGTCACACTTCAAGCTTCACTCAAACTAAATGTAGAGGAGACATTAGCTTAAATGGAGAGCAGACATTAAGCTCAAAAATACAGAAAAATCTGTTTATATTGCACTCCAGATCTTATTTAAAATATAATATAATTAAACTTTCATTCATATGCTCTTCTCCTTTGTCACATATCATCAATTTTACTCACTTGGAGAGTCACTGTACAGTCCAATATTTTAAGGCTTCAGTCTTTGAAAGAAACAAAATTACCCAGGACATGAATTGTGAGTAGTGTAAGCACTAGGGAATTACTCTTAGCAGTGCAGTGTGTCTTCTGCTCTTTTCAGAATAAAAAGGAATAACTCTTTCAGTAACAAATATCTTTGGTTTATTGGGTCATTGCCTGAGATGAGTCGAGCAACTCCACAAGAAAAAAAACAGTTTTGTTTGCTGAAAACAGCTTTCATTAAATTCAACTGGAGTCTTGCCATTGATTTCAGCAGGTGGTGACAGCAAAGAAGAGTGATTCAAGAAGATCTAATAAATAAGTTCTTTTGTGAGCACTTAAACCAAAAAAGCATGCTTCCTACGGACTCCAACCACTGTTTCAACGCATTTTCTTATCTTAGCTCCAGCTGAGGCTATTCCCATGCTTGCAATTTTTAAGAGACTTTTGCATTCTATAAAAATATTTCCTGTTTCTCTCCCTGCTTCCCCAGTCCACTCAGTTCCAATTAATACAACAGACCTTTCTTACTAAACCTACTGCAATTTTCTACAGATAGAACAGTAATACTGGTCTGTAATACTACAGACTTTCAGAGCAACTCAGCAGTTGCAATACAACACCTGTGTTTCTCTTACCAAAATACATAAAGCTTCATGAGTAATTATCATTGTTGTAAGCATATGAAACCAATTACCCTAAACATTAAAGCTCAATAAAACACTATAGCATAAGCACAAGTTATTAACCTACACTATGTTTTGGTCATTTTACAGTTGAGTTCATTCCTGTAAAATAAAACTCTACCCAGCAAGCACTGCTATACACAGAGCCCAACGAATTCTGACCAGACATTTACAAAAGCCAAATCAAACTTGGAAAGTAAGCCACTAAAAATTAAGTACTTTATAAGCTTCCCTGTAAAATGCCAGTGCTCCATGAGGTTTCAAGTGACAACTTAATTCTACCAGCTGTTCAAATGTATTTATCCTCATTACCCAGTCTGACTTCTACAGTACATTACCACTCAACCTCCTTGGAAAAGGCGAAACTGTAAATCTTTGGGCTTTGTCACTGCAAATTAACAGTGTAAAGTCACATATGCTTGCTGCAATTTCTCTTTTTACTTTAACTCCCTTCCCCTTCTACCACAGTTGGACAATCAGTGAAGTGCTTTAGATACCGAATTGGAATTACAGTCACTACATGACAGATCCAGATTTCCCATAAACTGCTCAACGTCCCAGCGGAGACCAGTGATGAGTAGCTCTCATCACAGGTTGGCATTCGGACTAGTGGTGTTTAACATCTTTGTCAGCAACATGGCACAGCGGGATTGAGTGCACCCTCATCAAGTTTGCCAACAACACCAAGCTGTGTGGTGCGGTCAACACGCTGGAGAGAAGGGACATCATCTAGAGGAACCCCGACAGGCTTGATAGGTGGGCCTGTGCAAACCTCATGAAGTTCAACAAGGCCAAGTGCAGGGTTCTGCACCTGGGTCAGGGCAATTCCAAACACAAACACAGGCTGGGTGGAGAATGGATTAAAAGCAGCCTTGAGGAGCAGGACTTTAGGGTGTTGGTTGAGAAGAAGCCCAACACGACCTGGCAATGTGTGCTCACAGCCCGGAAGGCCAACTGTATCCTGGGCTGCATCACAACCAGCATGGCCAGAAGGTCGATGAAGGTGATTCTGCCACTCCACTCTACTCTTGTAAGACCCCACCTTGAGTCCTGCATCCAGCTCTGGAGCCCTTAGCACAGGAAGAACATGGAGCCGTTGGAGTGGGTCCAGAGGGGGGCCACAAAAATTATCAGAGGGCTGGAGCACTTCTCCTGTGAGGAAAGGCTGAAAGAGTTGGGGCTGTTCAGCCTAGAGAAGAGAAGGCTCTGGGGAGACCTCATTGCGGCCTTTCATTACCTGAAGGGGCCTACAAAAAAGCTGGAGAGTGACTTTTTACAAGTGCATGTAGTGACAGGACAAGGGGTAACGGATTTAAACTGAAAGGGGGTAGATTTACATTGGATATAAGAAAGAAATTCTTTACTATGAGGGTGGTGAGGCACTGGAACAGGCTGCCCAGAGAAGTTGTGGGTGAGCAACCCAGTGTAGCATGAGGTGACCCTGCCCACAGCAGGAGCGCTTGGAACTAGATGATCTTTAAGGTCCCTTCCAACCCAAATCGTTCTATGATTCTATAATTCTACGACTGTTCAGCCAGAACCCTGACACATGGTGTTGGGAGCAAACAGTTATGCAGATGTTCTGGTCACATCCAATTGGGAAGAGGGTCCCAGACTAAAACCAGTTTTATGATTATAGTACCTCTCTGACCACAGGTGCCTCTGGACCAAAATGGACTGCAATCTGCTTTGATTGCAAAATTATGCCCATTTAGAACCAGGAACAACAGAAATGGATTCTAACATGCTAGCAGAGTAAGTATAATCCTAACAGCAGCATGCATCAGTTACAACACCACACACTGAAATTCCAACTATATTTCACAAAAATTTTCACAAAAATATCTGTTTGCTGAAGGAAGTCTGCTTTTGCATTTTTCAGAAAAGAAGGTGCACTTAATCTTCAAACTAGCTTTTCTACTTGCCCCTGTTTCTGGAAAACATATCACTAGTGTCTTTTGCTATGCCAAGAGGAAAAACAATCTGCAACAAGTTGCCTTTATTGGGAATTTCCCTCAGGGATTAGTAGTTTTGTAGCTAAAATGAGTGTCACAAATCTCTTATCAACAGCAAGCAGTCTTTCTATAATCTTTAATTTATGCCACTGCAAATGCTTCCTTAGAGGGAACAAAGTTGCAGGTGACAATAGCTTCACTCTAGGAAGTACAGCCTCTTTAGAGGCTGGCAACACAGCCCAAATACTTCATCTTGACCCAGGTCTATGAAAGTAGATAGATAAACAACATACTAGATAACGATACCTTTATAAAACTGCAACTCAACTGCACTTCCCTGCTACTAACACCTATAATTCAAAGGAGTGATCCAGCTTTATATATAACTATTGTCAAGAGGGCTAGTAATACAAAATACATACGTAGTACTAAAGAATTAAAATCAGACACCCACATTCAACCTAAATAAAAGAAAAGCCAGCTAAGTTTTGCTTTCAGACTCATTATACAGGAAGGAAAAAACCCCCCTTATAACACACTTGTACACCATAGAAGTCAGTGAAGTAAATATATTTAAGTAATGTTTCAGCATGATTTAATCAATATTTCTTTTTTATTCATTCAAGTTCTTTGAAATTCTTTTGATTTTAAATAAACAGTTATGAATACTGGAATAAAAAGATTTAAAAACTCATTCAAGAGAATTTAACAATAAAACTCTGACATATAAAGTTGCTAATTTGTATTGGGACTCTGATTTGTTGGGTGGACTGGCACAAGACAAATCGAACATGAGGCAAACATCCAGAAAACAATCCAGCTCTTTGCTTTCACACTATCCCTCCAAAAGCAGAACTACAGGAGAAGTAAAACAGTGGATCCTCGTCCCTGGCAGTGCACAAAGTGGTTCTACTAAATAAAGCCTGTTTTTATGACAGCAGCAAATGCATCACTTTTTTCCTCACGTAAACAGCTGAATACTGAGAAAGAATAAGTCTTCAAACTACAAAATACAGAGATCAAAGGAGATACTATAAAATGCTTATTTTTTAGCATGCCATCCACTTTTCTCAAGGCTAGATGGGAACATTTGCAGACAAACACTTCTTTCATGCAGTGAATAAATAACGCAAACAACACAAGAGCACTTTATTAGAACTGAATTGGTAGAAGTGACACAAGTACTGGTTATAACTTCTCTAGAAACAATGAGCAGTAATACTCAAGTTACTCAAGTCAATTAACAAGGCAGATTTTTATAGGAATCAAAGATGAAGAATTAAAATTTTCATAAAACACTAAAAATATTCACCAGTCATAAACCACTCCACATACAAAAGGTGCTACCCATTTGGGCAGCATTAAAGCATCCTCTTCTGTCACTATGAAATTAGTATACATTATAACCATTTGTAACCCAAATGAAAACCGCAAGCTCTTACCAAGTAATCATCAGGCTTGATACCAAAAAGTTCTCTGAAATAGCGGAAGGCAAGAGGTGCATACGTCTTAAATCTGAAGTCAGGGTAATGATGAGCAGGCGTGAGATTGCTCCCTTCACTGAAAATAAAAACAAAAATAAACCAAACCAAATCATTACCGAACAATTCTTAGCATCCTCCTTCTTGCAGCTACTTTTACTGTAAAACTGCCTAACTCACCCATCAGCCTTCGCACACAAGAGTCATAAATGCAGATAAATCTCCCTATCACCATTAATCAGGGTAATAGAAATGTCTGTGAGAGACAGAATTCTGCCAGCAAATTCCTTTCTCTCGCCTTAAAGGAAATTACTTTTTTCACCACCCATATCCATTTGTGTAAAGATCGGGTTTAAACTAATGCTACAACTGCTGACGCTCCTCCAAAGTAAGCCAGTCTAACAGCTTACTGATGCAGGAAGGGTCACCTCACCTCACAGAAGCTCTTGCAAAAAGTTTGGAAGTCAATGCAGCAAAACAGCTTCACACTAGCTTGGTGACCTCAACTGGTTTGCAGTGCAGTCAAGACAGATACTAGGGACAGCACAACACAGAGGGCAGAACCATGTGGCCAGAGCAGCGGGAAGGAAGCAGGATGACGTATATTTTTTGGTGCCAGCAAACATTGATTAGCTCAGCCTTATTTATGAAACAGCATCCGCAGCATTAGTCTCTTTTGCAGGCTAACTGCAGTTATGTTATCTCTTTTTCTTGCAAGTGCTATATGGGAAGCCACTCTGGGTCTGCTGACCTTAAAGTGGTTTTCTCTTTGTCTGCCTGTCACATCACATATTTTACCCCACCTCAATCTAAACCAGCACTAGCTTACAATGCTCCGCTAGTTAAACAGCAAGATGGGGTACAGACCCTTTGGGGAATTCTGGAAAATGGTATGCAACTATATGCAAGATTAGATTCAAACCAGAAGAGGCACAGACAAAGACTACTAGGGTGACCAGGCTGGAAGACAGTTTTCCTTAAAGCAAATAAAAAACAATAATAATAATAAAAAATCACTGTAGCCTCCTTAGCTCTTTTCCTTGTTTTGTATTCACCATCTCACTGTATTTTTAGGCTGCAGTTCTATGAGTCTTGAAACGAACACTACAGGATTCAATGTAAAGGAAAAGGTCAGCGGCAAAATGCTGCCAGAAGAAAAAAAAAAATATATATATATATAAAACCTGCTTGTGGATTCATTCATGAAGGAAACTAAAAGAAAGCTTTTAAGTAGAATACACTATGATTTCAACATAAACAAGAACAGCTTTAAGACAAAGTTTTGTCCGTCTGCAAACGGTTTGATAAATAGGCAAGTACAAAATCCAAGACTTGACACAGTGGCCGAAATCAGCTCTTGCAGCACTTCTTTACTCATTTACCCTAACTAAATTATTCAAAAGCAAAATATCTACCTCTATGTTCAGAAATAAGAATATCCAAAGTATATAAAAAAGAAAAAAAAAAAGCTATGAATTCACACAGATATGAAAACGAATAAAATCTAAGCAACATTCCTGCACAGACTAAATTAAGTATCATGAAAATATTTAAGAGCTTTGATCCTGTACAATTGTTTGTCATATGTACTTGTCACCTTCCATTAATGACAGAAGTCTACCCAACACACTTAGCTGTCCCTACATACTTACTGCCACAACCCAACGAACTGAGCTGCTGCTAATTAAACTGTGTGAGCTGGAGACCAAGCTTTCTCAGGCTCCAGAAATGCATATACTTTAGACTCCTGAACAGGAGAAAAAGGATCAAAATAATAACCTGATTTCTGCCTGCAAATCACAAATAAAAAGATGTTTGTGGATGACCAAGGATACATACACAGACATTACAATACTGCTGCTTCTTGAGTGCTAAACAATACAGTGAACAGCTAGTGAAGGCTGCCCAGTCCTAATTAACTCATCTGATGACTTCATAGTCTACTATTATCACAACTCCAAGATATTAAATCCGCATGTATTCTATTATTCCATTATATAATAAAAAATAGAAATCAATAGGATACTAGGCTGAAGATCGGGTTTTTTTATAGTTCAGATTGGCTAATGCTTTTTCTTATAAGGTTTTCCAGCTGCTCAAAACACTGCCAGTCTTGTCTGACATGAAGTTTTATACAGCTGGATGCATCTCATTGAATTTTTGTGCAATATGAGGATGCCCCAGCAGTAATAAACAGCTACACTGGGAACCTGGGGGCATATTTGTAAGTGCATATAATTGTTGTAAGATGCAATTGCAATTCTGTTGTAAGAACAGAACAGAGAATTCTCTGCTGAAGCATCACACCATCGTCAGGGAGGATTAATCATGTGAACTTTATTTAAAAGCCGTATCTTTCAGAACATTTAAACCTTTATAAATCTGCTTCCTGCAGCCATAACTTAAAAGCTTCGTTTATGAAAGCACGACATTAAATAGATTACATGTCCTTACTATACCAGATCACATACTGTTGTTGGAACTTCACCAGGCTGCAACGAAGATAGGAGGTTTGCTACGACAATACCATGGGTCCCAGTCATTTCATAAGTGTATATGGAGTAAAACGACCAATATTTGGTCTTCAGGTGGACAGTAATGCATAGTGAGTAGCGATTTATTCCAGAATAATTGCAAAACAGAGCACTTCTTTTGGAACAGCATCTACACAGAGAGTAATTCCACTTATTTAGAGCACATGAGCTTACTTTATTACAGATACAATAGACAATTTCACTATGCAGACAAGTTTCCTTATTCTTTGTAAAATCATCTTAAAAAAACCCTTTTACTCAAGGTCTGCAGAGCTTTTTATCATACCCTATTATTTCTGTTAAACATATTAATTAGTTCCAGGTTCACTGCATAACAGAACAGTTTACAGGATCTTGATACCCGTAAATGTAAAATTTCCACTTACTAGAGTGATTCTAATTAAACTAAAGTAGATCCTTGCTGTTTTGAGAAGACAGGAAAGCTCTAAGATAAAGAGGCTCCTAAATAACGCTACTTAGACAAACTTGACTTGCTGTTTTGTGGGGGGATAGGAAAGCTCTAAGATAGAGAGGCTCCTCAGCCTTGGGAGGGCAGATGCACCAAGCTACAGAGATAAAGAGGCACCAAGAGGGCGACAAGACCGGAGCAAAACAACCTGGAAGGACACGGTGTACATGATCTTAGAACTGAGTTTGCGCAGAAAAAAAGGTCAACCAGCAGACACTGTGATGAGGAGTATAAACCTTCAAATTCCTCATGCCTAGGTATGTCCTTGCTCTTACCTAAAAAGTACAGCTTCCACTGTATAGATCACTTGATGTAAATACATCTCAACCTTATTTAGAGAGGAAATTATTCACCTTCCACTCTATTAGCTCTTGAGAGAATGTATTTTGTGGCTTCCCCCCACATTTTCTTGGTGCATTTTACAAGTGCATTTCACTCTGGTTGGATTAAAGCACATGTGCCAAGCACTACACATAACAACTTTTAATCAGGCTAGGGAGTTTTTCAGGGACGATGGTATCTTTGAAGCTGAACAAGAAAAATACCCATGATTTGTTGACAAGAAACTTAATCTGCAAAATGGAGCTTTGGACATAACAGAACTGTGCTCTAGAAAAAAAGAAGGTAACTGTATAATTTTCCTCTGAGATATTTTAGGGCACAGGTCTACCAGGAAAAAAAAAAAAAAAAAAGGAGAAATAAAAGGCTTTTATACTAGCAGTCTTGAGGAATTCAAGACCCTGTACAGAAGCTATGAGAAATAACATAGGCTTTGGAAAGATTAGGATGCAATTGTAACTTTTGAGGTATTTTAATACCCTTTAGCTGTAAGACCACACAAAATCAAAAGATTGGCAGGTAGAATAAAAAAATAGAGATTAAGCTCACTATGCAAGTTTTCTTTAACATTTACATTTTATATTTTTTTTTTTTAAATCAGGCACACCTACAAATGACAGTAATGTGCACCTTAACCTGTCTCTTCGTAAATGCTGAGGGTTGATCTAAAGTGTAGGTGGTGCAATATCAAACTAAAAAATGAACTAAAACTGATTAGATTTTAATGGCTAACCCCGTGGCTTTCAAAAATTTCACAAACAAGACATGGAGATATATTTCTTCACAGCTTTTCTTTACCATTGTCTCACGCTGGCAGGATGTACTCAGGAAATAGCACACCTATCTGAAGAGGCAGGGAAGGCTATCTGCATCTCTTGGTAGCAAGCCTTCATAGCAGAGCAATGTTAATAGTTGTATTAACTGTTGTAATCTGATGTAGCTGTTACCAAAAATAGTCACGCTGTAGTCGTGGGCCCATGTATAATCTTCTCGTATGTACAGCAAAAAGAATGAAGAGGAGGAACACCTCAGTTCTCTCATGTGAAAGCGCGACTCTTTTTAAAATCTTAAAATCAAAATACAACATCTAAAATGAAATGCTCCCAATATTAAAAACTAAGAGTATCCAATCTCAGTTTCACTGCTCTTGGATAAAGCTGCTCTTCAACAATACATCAAAATATGTTCAAGTCTACAAACTGTATACAGCAAACACATACTGACACATCAGGTAGTGCTTTGGTGTATTCATTTGCTATATATCATCATTTCAGGAAAGCAATTGTTTCCCACATAATGGAAGTAGGTATTATGGCTACCTGTACAAACAGGTGTGGGTTTGTCTTTTTCATACTGTCAGCTAAAGTCCACTGGTAATATCCTTGTTTCTCACTGTATGTTCTCCTATACTTTCGGTTACCATATGCTATCCTAAGCAGTCCTCTGCATGGCAGCTTTAACATACAACTGTGAATAGTAGGCATCTTCAAAACACGTCAAGCCAATCATATCTACGTAACAGCTGAATACACAGACGTTTTATTACAATGATGATAAGACTATTTCTCAACCAACTGGACATGCCGTTAATCCAAAGGAACTCAGAGTACTTTAAGAATAGTGTAAGTATGCCTACATAACCACACAAGTATCCAGGTTATCACAGGTTTACCAAGAATTTGACACTAACAGAAGTAGCTAATACCAGTAGTTTATTATAAACATGTCTTTGCTTTT